GGACTTCAGCACCTGAATGAGAGAAGGCGTTTCACATCAGAGGGGGAAGATGCATTGTTGAAAGGCCGGCGCAGAGATAACTGGGTAGTTGGCCATCTGGAAAAAATAAAGCGGAATCCCTACCTCACCCCCTACACCCAGATCAGTTCCAGATGGGTCCAAAATTTAAACCAAAAAAGGAAACCATAAAAATTCTAAAAGAAAACATAGGTGAACTTAACAATCTTTGGAAAGGAAAGATCTTTCTAAGCAGGATACAGAACTAGAAGCCACAATAAAATTCATGTGGGGAAATCAATGGGCGAGAAGTCCCAAGGATATTTTGAGAAAGATGGGGAATAAGCCCTCTCTGATATGAGAATACACGATGAATGGGGAGAAACAGGCTTTCCTCCATAAACCAGTTCAATACGGGATGATGGTGTCTCCAGACAATGAACAGTAGGAAGAATGTTCAGATGGTGAAGTTGGGACATCACGAAAGGAAACAGATTTAAGTCCATTTTCCACATATACTCAAGAATAAATTATTTATAAAGCAAATCAAATCTTAGAAAGGGTGGCCAGAACGATAAAGGAATATTGAACAGGACTCTGGAGGGATGAGAACCTTCCAAGCATCACAATGATTGAGGAAATCACAAAAAAAAAAGGAGAATTGATTCAACTATTTAGAAAAGACCTTTTGTATCAAAACAATCAAAGTCCAACAATTTTGACTACATCACATTTTTTCATTTCTAGGTGAATAAAAGTATTACCAAATCAAGACAGAAGCTGAACAGGGACTGGCATTCACCAAATTAATTGCCTTAATTTAGAAACACGTCCATACAAGTAAATGAAAGAAAGACATAAAACCTAACAGATAATTGACAAAATTTGAATATGAAAAGGCAATTCCCAGAAAAACAAATTGGAATGAATGGTAGCCATATGAAAAATGTTCATGCTCACTCATCATCAAGAAACAATACTACACCCTTTGGTGATAGGTTAAAAACCTATCAAAAGGGTCAAGATTTTTAAGTTTGAAAATACCCCAAATATATGGGAAAACAGCCATTCTCAAACACTGGTTGTGGGAGTATAAACTGGTCTATTCCACTCCTTTTAATGGCTGTATAATACTCCATGTGTGGATGTAGCAACATTTATTCAACCAGTCCCTGTTTATGGACATTTAGGATTTTCTCCTCCCCGTTGAGTGGTGCCATGATGAGAGTCCTTGGACACACATCCTTGCATCCATATGTAAATACAGGTGTAGAAATTCTTGGCAATGGAATTTCACAGTGAATGACACTTTGCTGTGAAAATTTTGACAGACGTTTCCAAACTGCCTCCTGTAAGGTCACAGTCATTTGCACTCTGACCAATTGGATTAAAAAATATCTGTATTCCTATACTTTATCCAGAAGCAAAACTTATAGCATTCATATTGTTTTGTTTTCATTAAGTATATGGATAGACAGGTGATTTTTTTTTTTTTTTTTTTTGAGACGGAGTTTCGCTTTTGCTACCCAGGCTGGAGTGCAATGGCGCAATCTCGGCTCACTGCAACCTGGGTTGAAGTGAGCCTCCTGCCTCAGCCTCCTGAGTGGCTGGGATTACAGGTGCCCATCACCACATCCAGCTAATTTTTGTATTTTTAGTAGAGACAGGGTTTCATTGTGTTGGCCAGGACAGTTTCAATCTCTTGACCTCGTGATCTGCCCCTCGTGATCTGCCCACTCGGCCTCCCAAAGTGCTGGGATTACAGGCATGAGCCACCACACCTGGCTCATTGGTGAGAGAGAGAGAGAGAGAGAGAGAGAGTTTTGAGACGGAGTTTTACTCTGTTTTCTAGGCTGGAGTGCAGTGGTGCAGTCTCGGCTCACTTCAGCCTCTGCCCCCTGGGTTCCAGTGATTCTACTGCCTTAGCCTCCTGGGTAGCTGGGATTACAGGCATATGCCACCACCATGCCTGGCTAATTTTTTTTGTATTTTTAGTAAAGATAGGGTTTCACCACATTGGCCGGGCTGGTCTCCAACTCTTGACCTCAGGTGATCCGCCCTCCTCGGCCTCCCAAAGTGCTGGGATTACAGGCATGAGCCATGGCGCCTCACTATTAAGTATTTTTTTTTAAAGGGCGAGTGGGGTGAGGTGAGTAGGGGAATTGTCGGGAAAATTGCAATTTTCTTCACCTTTGCCGCTTACCTGCTGTGAGCTCCTCGGCTTATCTTCTTCCCCCTCCCTGGGCCTCAGTTTTCCCATCTGTGAAACAGGAGAATGAAATAAATTGACATTTTCCAAACTTACTCACCAAATGGCAAAGCTGAGTGAAGTGATCTTACCTCTGTGTGGCTGGGGTAGGTGGGATGCTGCCCCTGCCACTCTTCCCTCCTACACACCAGAGAAGAAACCACACATCAGGGACTCCAGCCTGGCGCAGCTCAAGCATTCAGGACTTGGGTCTCATTCCCAAGCTGTCACTGAGGAAGGCTGGAAGCCAATTCTGTTGCAAAGGTGGTTATTTTTCTGCCGTAAGTGAGGTTGGACCCCAGAGCTGCCTTTCCCAGTGTCTTAGCTGTGGACTCTTCAAACACCAATCCTGCCCTGAACCATCTGTGGCTCCCTATTGCTTAGGGAATTAATGCTACCTCCCTTCATTGATTCTGGCTTTGAGGCTCCAGATTTTGGCTCCAGCCTCTCTCCATGGTCCGGCCAGACACCCAGTCTCTGTCTCCTGCAAACCAAGCCTTGGACACACACTTTATCCAGGGGCTCCTCCTCCTCCCGGCCTTTGTCCACCCGCAAGGCCTCCCACTCATCTCTAGTGACTTCCTCTACCACCAATTAACTGTGTGTGCCCTTGTACATCATCTATAGGGCGTCGCAAGATACAGGAATCAAAGGCCATAGGGTCATAACAAGGAAATCTATCAGCCTTCATCAAAGCTTTGTGAATCTTAGAGAATCGAAGAGAAAAAAAGCAAGCATACTCAAGGGCAAGTATAGTTAATTACAATTAAATTTGGGTAGATGTACATGGGTGAAGAAAAAGACTGGCAGGAAATATAATACACCAAAATGCCCCAGGTCTTGAGTATCTTCAAGATAATAACATTAATAGGGCAGGCACAGTGGCTCAGACCTGTAGTCCCAGCACTTTGGGAGGCCGAGGCAGGTGGGTCACCTGAGGTCAGGAGTTCAAGACCAGCCAGGCTAACATGGTGAAACCCCATCTCTACTAAAAATACAAAATTAGCTGGGCATGGTGGCACACACCTGCAATACCAGCTCCTCAGAAGGCCGAGGCAGGAAAATCGCTTGAACCCAGGAGGAGGAGTTTGCAGTGAGCCCAGATCGCACCATTGCACTCCAGCCTGGGCAACAAGGGCCAAACTCCAACTCAAAAAAAACCATTGATCGTGGTGATGATGATAGCTTACTCATGTTAAACACACCATGCGAGGAGAACGCCAGGCATTTTATATGATCTCTTTCCCTAATTTTATATACTTTAAGTTCTCTGTAATTTATGTGTATAACTTTTGTCGTAAGAAAGATGCGTTGCTTTTTTTTTATTATTATTATTGAGACGGAGTTTTGCTTTTGTTACCCAGGCTGGAGTGCAATGGCACAATCTCGGCTCACTGCAACCTCTGCCTCCTGGGTTCAGGCAATTCTGCCTCAGCCTCCTGAGCAGCTGGGATCACAGGCACGCGCCACCGTGCCCAGCTAATTTTTTTTTTGTATTTTTTAGTAGAGACGGGGTTTCACCATGTTGACCAGGATGGTCTCCATCTCTTGACCTCGCGATTCACCCGCCTCGGCCTCCCAAAGTGCTGGGATTACAGGCGTGAGCCACCGCGCCTGGCCTGGATGTATTGCTTTTTAACATATTAGAGTTAAATTGTGATGGATGGAGAATTATTTTTGTACAATGAAAAGTAGGTTCTGGATACAGGGGGCTAAAGTCAGACTCCTCCCACCTTCCAGATGAGGTTCCTAGGGTTCTTGACCCCCTCCTCTGCTGCCCCCTCCCCACAACCCTGCAGCCTCCCTGAAAGATGGGGCCAACAGTGGGCTCTCAGAAGAATGAAGCTAGAACCCCAGGTCCCAGGAGTCCCCTCCGCTGACCTATTTTAGGTGACCCAAGCTCTCACAGCCACCAGGCAGCAGGGTGATGGTCAAGAGCCCAGACTCTGGAAGTCAGACTCTCCGTGACCCTGTTGTGTGCCCCTGTGTGAACTTGGCCAAGTGGCTCCTTCCTCTGTGCCTCAGTTTCCCCATCTGTAAAACAGCCATCATGGCAGAAGCCAGCTCCTTTGTAGACCTGGGTGAGGAGGAAACAGGATGAGTTCAGAAAAGTGCCATATCCAAGGTCTGGTACATAGTAGGCCCTCAATACCCAGGTGCTATCACCTTTGTCATTATTATTTGTTGTTAATCTGTTGAAGGAATACTCAGAGGCAGCAGGCAGACATTTCCCCAAAAGTAAGCTCTTAGGAAGAAGCCCTCTGGACGCGGGCTCGGAAAACCGGAATGTTAAAAAGATAAATAAAGCCTCTCTGTAGCTGGACAAAGTCTGGGCGGCCCAGAGGGGGCAGGGGAATTCGGCTGCGGAGAAGGATTTAAGCCCTGGACAATGGGCGCTGTCTGAACTAACCAGGGCCGCTTCTTTGAGTCGTGAGAAGAGCTATTTTCTCCTTTAAAGCCTTAAAGAGCTATTAAGTTGGGCAAATCACTGGTAAAACAGCTGGAAACCTAAGTAGCAATTTAAACAGCCCATTGCCCTTCCGTCCCGACGTAGAATGCGTTCTCTGGGGCAGACCGTCTCCAGGTCCGACTTTGCCAAGCCTAAGAGGATTGAGTGGGGGACCCTTCCCCAAGCTCTGAATGCAGCCAGGAGCTTTATTTAGCAAATCCACAATTTCTACCCCACCCCCTCCTCTCTCTTTTTTTTTTTAAGTAAGCAGACTGAACTCTAATTTTCCCTCTTTTCTCTCCCCAGTCTCCTTGAATCGGCCCATTCTTTCATTATGTGGAACTAATGAAGGCCTCGCGGAGTCCCTGCTCAGGAATAGGGCCCTTAAATAAAACATGTTTCATTGATCAACTTCAAAAAGTCTTTTAGTGGGGTTGGAGGTGGGAGAGGGAGGAGGTAGTTGGGATGGAGTGGAGCGGGGGAGGGTCTCCCAAGGCACCAGCGGGGGAAGCTGAGCCTGGCGAGTGACAGCCTGGGAGCTGGGGGAGGTATGCATAATGTCTGTTTCTGTCCCCAGGATCCAAAATCCGATCCACAATCCATTTGTTTGTTTTGTGGGACGGTGATTCTGCAGGCGCCGAGACACGCCTGCCTGAAGCCTCCCCATTCACCCACAGTGGACGGGAAGGGCTGGATCGCTTTAAATTTTTTATTTTATTTTTTCTTAATCTCCCCGCAAGTAAAACTTTTGGCCAGCTAAACAGAGCTCTGGACTTAGAGCAGTCCCCCGGGGAAAATGTGGCCGCCAGCTCTGGGCTCCTCTAACATCCGTTCCAGCAACATCCCTCAGGCATAGTGTGAGGGGGGAGTCGCAGACAGCGGGACCCCTGCTGGCTAATGAATATTAAGTGAGCACCTACTATGTGTGGGGAGCTCTATAGATTAATTTTACTTTTATGTTTTTTTTTAATTGTCTGAATTGCAAAAGCAGTGAATGCCAATTGCAGAGCCATTCCATGGCAGTATGAAGTACTCAGAAAACAGTAAAAGTCCCTAGCAGGGATTTTTTTTTTTTTTTTTTTTTGAGACAGAGTCTTGCTCTGGTCCCCCAGGCTGGAGTGCAGTGACACAATCTCAGCTCACTGCAACCTCCACCTCCTGGGTTTAAGAGATTCTCTTGCCTCAGCCTCCCAAGTAGCTGGCATTACAGGTGACTGCCACTGTGCCTCCCAAAGTGCTAGGATTACAGGCATGAGCCTAGAACACAAATCTGCTGTCATACCCTTGCCCCAAGCCCACCACTGCTGGGATAAAGTGGGAATCCCCACCCACAGCTTCACCTCCAGGCCCAACACACTATTTGCCATTTGTGCTGCTTCCCAGGATGCTTCACGTCTATTCCTCTCCTTGGAATGTTCTTAGTCTCCAAGGTACCTGTCGAAATCCTACTCATCCCACAAAACCCCACTTACCCCTCTGGTGAAGCTTTATCATCTAACACATGCCTGTCCTGCTTAGTGGGATGCCTCCCTGCTTTATCGCAAAACTGCACGTGTTGTGGACCTCAAACCCAGCCCCTATGTCTCCAAGAGGTGACTATCTGCTCATTTCTATCCCCTGATAGACTCTGAGTTCCTGGAGAGCAAAAGCTGTGCCCAGAACAGTGCTTGGCATATAGTGGGTACTCGGTTAAATGTTTGTTGAATGACGAAGTGAATGTTTCTCTAAAAGAATGTCACCCAAAGGAAAGTACAGAGGTTTGATGATAGTTACTTTATTTGCTCTGAGTTCTGTGGAATTGATTATCCAGGACCAGAAACCCAAAGAGGAAATTAAGGGTTGGTCAATAGTTTGGCAAGGAAGACACTGCCGAAAATGCCATGTCCCTTAGGTGCTGGTTAGGTGGCATCCTTCGGCAAGTCCTTCCTGGGTAGGTCATGATGGCATTCGTTCCCCCATTCCCCATACCCTTGGGGGTGTGACATTCTCCCTGTAAGGCCCAGAGCCAATGCCACCTTCTCCTGGAAGCCCTCTGGGAGGCACACAGCAAGTTCGCAAAAGAGGTTTCCTTTTTATTTTGTTTTGTTTTGTTTCAAGACGGAGTCTCGCTCTGTCACCCAGGCCGGAGTGCAGTGGCGCGATCTCTGCTCACTGCAACCTCTGCTTCCCAGGTTCAAGCTATCCTCCTGCCTCAGCCTCCCGAGTAGCTGGGATTAAAGTCATGCGCCACCACACCCAGCTAATTTTTTGTGTTTTTAATAGAGACAGGGCTTCTCCATGTTGGCCAGGCTGGTCTTGAACTCCTGACCTCAGGTTATCCACCCACCTCCGCCTCCCAAAGTGCTGGGATGACAGGCATGAGCCACTGAACTCAGCAGTGATGGGAGTTTTTTATTCTCATTTTTATATATGAGGAAGCCCAAGCTCAGAGAAGCTAAGTAACTTTCCTGAGGACACACAACTGTCTAAAAACGCGTGTGTCAGTTCAAGTCCAAAACCAGTGTGTGTGGTCAGTTGCGGGAGACTTGCAGTCTAGAAAAGACGAAGCAGGCCCCTCTGGCTGGAATCTTGACTGCCTCCTGCAGAACTCATTGCTGACGTCTCCTTCTCTAGCCTCAGGTTGATCATGGGCAGGGGCCGGGTCTCTTCCTGTGCCTCTAGTGTCTGCCACAGAGCCTGGAATGGAGTTCCTGCTTAGTCAGTTTCTTTCTACATGAAATGAATTATTTTCCATCTCTGCTGGGTACAATCCAACATCTGAATAGCTCTTTTTCTTTCTGTAATGACTCAGGTGGGACCAGCACAGCCTTGGGTGAGGGGGACTTAACTTTTCTTGGCCTCAATTTCTCCATCTGCAAAGTGAAGGATATGAAATGCCCGAGATCAGCCTTTGACTCTGATCAAACAGGCCGATGGATATGACTGAGTCTGGCAAACCGTGAAGTCCTGTACAAAGCCCATTGTCACTGTCACCGTGACCTCTCCCAACTACATCACAGGCACCAAGCTAGTTATCAAAGAGCAGAGCTGGCCTTGGGGGCAGAGAGCTCAAGCCCTTTGGTCAAGCTCTCCCCGGCTGGCCTTGACTCCCCTGCATTCCTTGGAGATAAGACTGTCAGGCAAGAGACCATCACGGCTTGTTGTGTGTGGGGTGCTGCGTCTGTCTGCAGCCCAGCATGGGCAGCTGTGGGGAGACTTATCATGGCGATACTTGCACCCTCCTCCCCTTATGCTGGGCACAGACTTAGAATTGAACCAGACCTGTGTGGGCGTGGTGGCTCATGCCTATAATAATCCCAGCACTTTGGGAGGCCAAGGCAGGTGGTTAATGAAGTCAGGAGTTCGAAACCAGCCTGGCCAATATGGGTAAACCCCGTCTCTACAAAAATACAAAAATTAGTTGGGCGTGGTGGCATGTGCTTATAGTCCCTGCTACTCGGGAGGCTGAAGCAGGAGGGTTGCTTGAACCTGGGAGGCAGAGGTTGCAGTGAGCCGAGATCATGCCGCTGCACTCCAGCCTGGGTGACAGAGTGAGACTCTATCTCAAAAAAAAAAAAAAGGAATTGAACTAGACCTAACCTGGGACCAGAGGAGGATTAGCATCTTCCATTCAAAACAGCAAACCGGGGGAAGGCCCGGTTTGGGAAAGCTGTGGATCACTGGGAGAGAGCCTGTAACTTCTTCCTGGATCCTGGGAGATCCCCCCCCGGATGTACTGAGAAGCAGCACCGCTTCCTATTTCTATGTTGTCACTTCCACTAACTAACCTTAGGAAACACGTTTAAGGGGAATACAGGCAATAGGGTCCTCCTGGATTCATGGGATTCTCCCACCTCAGCCTCCCAAGTAGCTGGGACAACAAGCACATGCTACCACAATGATTTATTTTATTTTATTTTTATTTTGTATTTTGTATTTTTTTGTAGTCTCACCGTGTGGCCCAGGCTGGTCTTGAACTTCTGGGCTCAAGCACTCCTCCTGCCTCAGTGCTCATCCCAAAGTGCTGGGATTATAGGCGTGAGCCACCATGTCCAGTCAAAAATCCAGGAAAATACCTATTTTCAGTACCTTCTCTGTTGGACCACTTGCTAGGCACTAAAGGAAGAAAAGAAGAAAGTAGACTAGTGACTCCCTAAATTATTGATGCCCCCAAATTCATGAGGTCTTTTCTCTGTGCCTAGTATCAAGGCTCCTGCCCCCCTCTGCAGCCTCAGAGCCCCCACCTGGCTTCCCAGGGGTGTCACCTCCTAGGTCTTGGGTTTAGAGAGCTGCTTGCAGCCCGGAGGGTAGTATCCTTGGGCAAGGCCCCAGGAGGAGTGCTAGGGAGTGACCACAAAGGGCAGGGGAGACTGCAGAGGTAGAGAGGGCTCCACGGAGCTGAGAGTCACTTAAAGGGAAAATTGACAGGACTCGATAACGTCTTTTTGTGTGTGTGAGACAAAGTCTCGATCTTGTTCCCCAGGCTGGAGTGCAGTGGCGTGATCTCGGCTCACTGCAGCCTCTGCCTCCCAGGTTTCAGCAATTCTCCTGCCTCAGCCTTCCAAGTAGCTGGGAATACAGGCACACGCCACCATGCCCAGCTAATTTTTGTATTTTTAGTAGAGACAGGGTTTCACTATGTTGGCCAGGATGGTCTTGATCTCTCAACCTCGTGATCCGCCCTCCTTGGCCTCCCAAAGTGATGGGATTATAGGCGTGAGCCACCAAGCCCAGCCTAAATGATGCACTTAAATGGTACATTTTACTATCTGCAAAGTATGTCTCTATAAATATAATTTAAATAATATAAAAACTAAATACACATAGAGGCCAGAAAAATATGCTGTATGTGCAATATGGCCTTAGTTTTATTTTTTTTAATGTATATGCTCATGGATAGTAGAATGTTAATTAACATCCTTTCTTCATCTTTTTTTTTTTTTTTTTGTGACAGAGTCTTGCTCTGTCACCCAGGCTGGAGTGCAATGGCACGATTTCGGCTCACTGCAATCTCCACCTCCCAGGTTCAAGAGACTCTCGTGCCTCAGCCTCCTGAGTAGCTGGTACTACACACGCTATCAAGTCATATCTATATTGAACAGATACAGCTTTTTTTAATTGGAAAAATCTTACTTTTTGTGTACAAGGTGTTCTTGCACAGATCAGCATTTGCAGGGGAAAGCAGGTGAGGGCACACTTATGCCTGCATCAAAATACGTTGCATTCATTCATTCGTTCACACCCCCTCCTCTGCTCCCCACCATGCTATTTAAATAATGTTGGCAGCACCATCATCTTGGGAGAGGGGGTTTGGTATAGGGTGCAGTGTACCATTCTTTTTTTCAGCAAAAAAAAAAAAAAAAAGACTCTAAGAGAATTTTAAAGATCAAGTCTGTAACTCCTTGAGGTAGACTTCCAGCCACTCTCGGCATACT